GGAGCAAGCAGTTCACTGAGAACAAAACTAAAAGACTAAAAGGAAACCAAATAAACAATATACGAGTGTCCCTTTTATGCTTCTTTCGCCCATTTCACACACACACATACACACAAACAAAAAGGAACATATATATTTGCATTATTCAGTTTAGAATATTGAGTTGTGAGTTAAAACATACTTCGAAACATTTTTAAGAAAAAAAAAAAAACTAGCGAAAATTAGCAAAATTTAAAATTTACAATTTATGAACATTAATTATTATTAATTTATGAATATCCATTCATTTTAAGGTGTTTACACGCACACACACTATGTATATATAAGTATGTATGAATATTCATTTATCGATTATGAATTACGAATTACGATTCACAATTTCGGAACTCAACACAAAGATCAGCCAACAACTAAAATACAATTTATTCTTCTTCTCATTACGAATACGTAATATGTATGGATCGGAAGCAAGTAACAGAAGTAAATGTGCATGGGTTTTGCTTAGAACCACTTTAAATGTATTTAACATTTTCGGCAAACATTACGACATTCCAAATTTCCAACTTCTAGGCCAAAGTCAAGCGCATCGTTTTCGATTGATTGATGCGAAACTCTAAAATTCTGAACTTCAGAGCCAAGTGAAACAAAATTCAACTACAAAAATAACTTTTATTTAAGTTTTACAAAAGCAAAAACAAAAAGCTAAACGAAAAATCAAATGTTTTTAGTTATACAACAATAGACCGGAATTATTTCCAAGAAATAGTACAAACAACTTTAGAAATAACTTTTATAATGTAATTATAAAGTAAGCGGTAATTAAAGCGCTCTAAATATATATGCCAAATAAAAATCTAAATACGGAGGGCTTCAAATCAAACCAAATTAATTATTTGACAACAAATAGAAAATTCAATTTTCCAATATGAAATTGGCGGATTAGAGCGCTGTTAAATAAAAAGATAAAAAAAAATCAAGACCCTCAAAAGCATATACGATTATATTATATTTTAATTTCAACTTATACACACAATATGTTGTTTTTGTATTTTGATTATAACTAAGCGGAATTGAAAGCCAACAAAAAAAAAAATAAAAAAAGTAAATTACAAGAATATAATGACAAAAGAACCTAGCACTAATCATATTTTCTAATTTCCAACTTGAGACCATTAAAAAAAATTATATATATATACAATTATTGTATTTCATTTTGAAATTTCGAACTCCATTTCAAATGAATTGAATAACTTAACGTACATACATATATGTAAAACTTTACTTTCAACACAATGTGGAAAGGAAACACACAGAAAAAACAAGGAGAGATCTGAAAAAAGCAAATTTAATGGCAAACAATTTACAATTATAAGTATATGTAATAACAATAGAAGACATAACCCTCTACGAGACCCTCCTCCCTACAAAGAGCAGAAAAACACACACACACATATTAACTATTTACCACAATAAACAGTAAATAATTATGAATGTAATACGCAAGATGCATAAATGAAAATCGAAAGTTTCACAATTCAATGATGACAATGACTGCGTATAATGCATCATTCTATACATTAAATTTTATATGATTAACTCATTTCGAAAGCAAAAATCAGAAATCACAAATACCTATGCATACATGGTATGATTTCGGTTTCGGTTTCAGTTGAAATTCGCATCCGTATCTATTTATATTTTACTCACTTTTGGTGTACATTTTGAAATCTTCGTATCGTTTGTCTGGACCGTAATGCAGAAACGAACATTCATGCAGACTCGCACAAAATTTGTAATTTTCTCGTAAGACAAAAATCGACAATTTGGTTTTGTATTTCGAGACAACATTTAGAATAAACAAACAAAAAATAAAGAAAATCAACAAAAAAAAAACATAGAACGTAACGCAGCATTAACTGAAAAGTGTAAGAGAAAAATTTAAATATTTGGTATATAAGCAAATATGAATACATAAATTTATATTTATGCAGCAGCTGTAAGGAATAAAAATAAAAACAAAACAAAAACAAAGAAATAAATGCATGAAGGGAAGGTAAAACAACAAAACACTAAACTATAATATAACATTTTTAATCGAAAAAACCAAAACAAAACTACTTATTTTATTGAAAATTATGTAAAATTTACTAAAACAACAAAAAACACATAATAAAAGTATATTGTTTATTTTCATCTTTAAAAATAAAGTTTTAAAATCGTATAAAAATAGTAAAAAAAAAATCACGTCGTTTTATTTTGAGGGTAATACTTGGCATTAAAAAGATGGAAAGCTTTTTAAAACGGATTAAATAATACAATTATTAATAAAAGCATTTTATAAATCAGTTTCCTTCAAGTTTTTAAATAGGTTTAATACGTTAGGACTTCGACCAACTACAGCTATATTAAGAAGTATATATATTTTTCTAATGATTGTGTGGGTCGGATAGTAAATCATACAGATATAGTCTTCAAATATTTTCGTACGCGCCACTTAGATAGCGACGGTTATATAATATATTAAACCAGGTGGCAACGATTGCACATTTGTGCAGCCCTGACCATATGTTGACATATCGATAGTCGATACAAGTACTTGGTTTAACCACATACGAGAAGAAGCAGCACATTACGCAAAAGGTGTTTCGGCTTTAAGCTTAATTGTTTATGAAAAATGTCGCTACTCAGCGCACTTGCCCGGTAAATAGACGACATTCTAATTAAGCGGCTTTATTTATAACGTACATATACATTTAATTCATAAATAGGCTCAGTCTGCAGAGTAACGGGGTTGCCGCACGTTTCCTGCACACATCGCCAGTGCTTTGCGCCGAGCCCTTGAAGAAAAAGAAAAAACTCGACCCGCAGATCATAAAACAGAGAGAGGACCGTAAGAAAAAGAAAATTGAGAAGCAAATACGCAGGCTAGAGAAGAATGCGCGGCAACTGAAGCCGGTGGAAGAGCTGGAGGTGCCTTTAGATTTAATTGACAACAAGGCGTAAGGCGATGGCTTGTGTTGACACAAGGCTCGGTTAATAATTTACTTTTTTAATTCTTAGTCAACGAGAACGAAAGCTAGCCCCCTTAAGCGCAGAAGAGCTAGAACACCGGGCACTGCTGAAGAAACAATGGGCGCAATACAAGCACGAACAGAAGGTGGCAGATTTCCAAATCATTGACCGCTTGGTCCAATCACAAAACAAAGCGCTGGAGGAGCTACGATGCGTGTCCGAAGAACTTTACCAAGCGGCCATAGCAATAGACMCGACTCTGCTGCCAGTCTCTGTAAAAGGACCCGTCGCAACGCCCCCTATCAAAGGCTATATAAGCCCTGACGGCGACTACATACACCAGGCAATGAAGTGGGAATAAAGCGGAGTTAACTAATTTAAGTAAAAAGAACATTTGTTAATTTGTTTATTTCAATTAAAAGATGAAAGTGATCTAAATATGTGTGTAATTTTGRAGGCTAAGAGTATTCAACAACCATTTAGATTAATCAGCTGTTTATCCGAAGAATTTTAGCATAAATGCAAAACATTGAATTAGGATGACTCCACATTCTTTAAATAGTAAAGCTTAATTTTTGCATTGTATGTATTTATTATAATCGAGAACAAGGATTAAACAAGTGAAAATTACAATTGGGTCTGCTTCGTGTTTGCTATAATATAATTTTGAAAGCACTGCGAGCTGATTATATATTTTTAAAGGTTTGTGTTCTCGGGCATCAGATACCAAAATTATATATATTCCAATAAATAAATAATATATGAGGGACAATACCCGATTATCTTGTGTAACTTCTTGATTATTTCATTTTTCATTTCGTTTTTAAGAGTTATCTAGGAAGGCGTAGTAGAGGGATTATTCTTAGCTGCGGCCTGCCGCTTTTTAACGCCCCAGTTGTGCACCCTCGCCATGTTTACCTCGGTTGTGGTAATTTGATCTCTGTGGAGAGGCAAAAGTATGTGAGTGCATTGCACGACAAATAGTAAAAATCGACGTACCTGAGAAAGTCCTGGTCGTGCTCGACAGACTTTAGATTGCCCACAGCGGATGTAATATTTTGCTTTAAGAGCGCTTCTGCTTCGTCGAGAGGATATTCCAGCATAACGCTAGCGCCCAACCAGAGATAAACCGTTTTTGTGGGCGGCACTAGCGTTTTGATGAACACCTGATCACTGAGCAGAAATTGCGTTTCACGCTCTTCATCCTCTTTGCGCAACACATTGACCATTTCCAACGAACGCTCCAGATCGGGTATCTGAGATTTAAGCTTGTGACGGCGCGCCTCTAAGTTATAGGCCATGAATCGATACTTGCCATGCTGTTCGTCYAGTCGTTGCAACACTTTCTCACAGTTTTCGTTCTCGGGCTGTGACATAAATGTATCAATTTCTTCCTGCGAAATGAACGCGATTKATGATTAATATGGAWTATTGTCTACAGCTGTTTTTGAGCTATACKCTATCTAGGTTAGAATTGCAATTGACTCGGCAGCGGCCTGATACCCGAAACTTCATACTTACTAAAAATATTGCTTCTGGTATCCCCGCGAATGTTTTTTGGTTTTCCGGTAATTTTGGCATTTCTACTGTGTCCATAATTCCAGTCATATTGCTTTTATTTCCTATTTATTCTTATAGATTGTAATAAATTTACAGCAGGTCAAAGGCGGCAGCAGCAGAGCAATGCGATTATTATAAAAACAGTGCTGCACAGCGTTTCTCAAATACAATTAACAGTACCAGTGTTTTATAGTTACTTGTKCTATCGCATACTGCAGAAATGTACAACAATTTTAGCGAAATTAATTAGTTAAATACATCATTATAACAACTTACCATTCATAAATATGTTATTTAAATTTTTAACTGCATTAACAAAAAAAATATTACAGTATATTTCCTTATTTAGCATGTCACTGTGACTATAAAATCATCGCAATATTCAACTTTAAAATGACAGTGCTGTAAAGTAGTCCAAATAAGTTTGAACAGAACTTACAGCAGTTCACATGTGCTGCGATCTGCTGCGGCTAATATCATAGCAAAGCCATTGTGCAGTTTCTCTTTATTTGAATTTGGTATTTTGTCATGTCGAACGCCGAAGCTGGCATCGGTGCCGTACGTGGGGGCGGCGATTCTGTAAAACAAGCTATAATCGAGGAACTGCAGAATCTGCTAAGCTCGGACACAACTGTTTTGCAGCAGGCGGAAAAGCGTAACAAGCAATTGCAATACACGGAAGGTATGCATGCAAATTGGCGGGCAAATAAAGGCGTTGTCTTTCCGATGCTAACAGCTTTGAATTTCAGGGTATGGAGTCTACTTGTCGGAGATAATTATGAACCAATCGCATGAGCTGCCGTTGCGTCAAATAGCAATTATAATGCTGACCCGGTATGTTGAAAACCATTGGACGGATCTGGATGAGACGGACAAAGCAGGTGGGCATATGGCTACCGAGCAGGCTAAGCGCACAATTCGTAACATATTGCCCAATGGCCTGTACGATCCCAACTCTAAAATCCGCTCATCGGTGGCTCACACGATATCCACAATTGCGGCAACAGACTATCCACATTGTTGGTCAGAGCTCTTTGACATTATAGTCAAATGTTTGGGTGGCAACGAGGATTCCATACATGGTGCTATGCAAGTATTGCAAGACTTTACCTACGATGTAGATCAAATCAAGGAGCTTGGCCCTGTGGTTATACCTGAAGTATATCGCATATTCGACTCGGAACAAAACTATTCGATTAAAACGCGAGTTTCGGCGATACGAACATTGAAGCAACTATTCACGTCCATCTCAGCGCTCATAACGGACAAGCAAGAGCAGAGCTCCATGATGAGCTCCATTCTGTCTAACTTTATGGACAAGCTTGTGCACTATCTCAGCATGAATTGCGGGGCTGGATCTAGCTTTCTGCTGCGCTCCGAAATCATAAAAGGTATTTTATCTTTAAACAAATAATATTTTATTATTTATATTATATCAATTGCTCATTCGCAGTGTTCACTTATCTGGTGACTGATATGCCGAAGTATATAAATCCGTTTATGGATCGCATCTTGCCAATTATTTGGCAGTTGCTTACACAGATAGCTGAAACCTATGTAAAGGTATCTGTCAATCAGACGGAAGCGAATCCCTTGGCAACTAGCGAATATGAAGAAGAAGATGAGCAGACCAATTTCCAAACGCTGATAATACAAATTCTCGAGTTCATTAACTGCATTGTCACCTGCGGCAAATTGCGTGGCAATATTAARAATGTTCTTGCGGATTTAATTTATATAACTATCGTGTATATCCAACTCGGCGAAGAGCAGCTGGAGGACTGGCAAGAGGATCCAGAGAAATTCGTAGACGACGAAGACGATGGTGGAGTCGAGCTAACTGTACGCATGTGTGGTCGTGATGTTCTGCTGGTGAGTCGCACTTTCAAATGAGATCAATATATAAAAGCGTTACTCTCAATTACAATTGGATCAGACTGTATGAGTATGAGATGGAATAGCCAGTAAGTGAGGCATACTATGCCGAAGTTGTAGTCCTCAAGAGAACTATAGAGCACAAGCGACTGCAGTCTATGCCATATAGTAATTATAAATATTAATGTACAGCATATATATTCTTGGACAGCGTAAGGAGGTAATCCGATTTAACAATGTGTGTTTACTTGTCTATATGACTGTATATCTGTCTCTTTGTCTATAAGGAGTGAAGATCATTTAAGCTTTCTATATGTGTGCAGCAGATTTCATTTAGTATTTGTATTTAGTAAAACGAAGCTATAGTGCTCGTAGCAGCAGAGAGAATTCCCACTGGCACTTAAAGATCGACTGTTTGCAGCAGCAGAGAGTGCTCTCATGGCTCACTTGAAGCTCCATGCTCACCATTTGAGCGCAACTAAGTGTGTGAAAGTCTCCATATATAAAGGGCAGCAGCTGCAGCATTTCATTAGTCGTCCAGGCCTAGTGGGGGTCAGTTGTTCAGTGCAGTAAAATGAAATGACGTGAAAGGAGGTGAAGTGATGTGATGTGATTTTATGATCGTTCAGCTAAGCATAAAGACTTAGAGGAAACACCTATAATAAACTCTTAGAGGAAATACTTAGAGAAAATACTGGAAGGAAATATTTGATGGAAATACTTTCAAGAAATACTAATAGTATACCCTGATTTTCCATTTTCAGGCTTAAGGGTATAAGAATAATTGTAATATTAGAATGACTCTTTATTTGATAACTAATTTATTTTCATTATCTTAAATATTCCAGGCAATTAATGACGAGTTCGGAGTGAAGGCCATTCAGCCGCTGCAGGAAGCACTTGGCCGGCATTTTAGCGTAGCGGAGGCGGAAAAGGAGGCCAACAATCCAAAYTGGTGGAAGATTCATGAAGCTTGCATGGATGCTGTTCACAGTTTTCGCGACATAATACTCGAGGGCGATTCCAAATTTGATTTGCTTAACTATCTGACGATTGTGCGAAATTTGTTAGTACATCAGGAATCGCCTCATCTGGTCGGGCGCGCTCTCTGGACGCTCAGCACGTACTCCAAGTCGGATTTGTACAATCCGCAGATGATAGTCGAAATTTTAGACGTAACGCTGTGCAGTTTGTCGCCGGATAAGTCACACATTCTACGCATCAGCGCTGTTCGGGCCTTGCACGGCTTCCTGCAAGCCAATGAAAATGTTGAGGGCGAGAAACGCACACTGCTCGTCTCGAAACTTCCTGGTTTTCTGGAAGGCATCATGACACTGGTGCCTGGCTGCAAGGCCACTGTGCTGGCGCTCATAATGGAAGCCCTCACGATGATGGTCAAGTTTGATGCGGACTTTGCATATGCGGCGCATCCAAAAATTACACCTCTGACCATTGCAGCATTCCTTAAGTATGCAGAGGATCCGTTTGTTTTAGAAAATGTGCAAGATCTGATCAAGGCGCTGTGCCAGCACAAACAGTGCCTGGGACCACTGCAAGAGAAATTCATACCGACCATTGTTAGCATATTGACGTTGCAAGGTGAGCAATGCGGCGAGAAGCAGGATATTGCCCTGGATGTGCTCAACACCATTGTCAAGTACACGGAGCCGCCGCTGCCCACTGCTTTGCTGGAATCAGCTTTTCCCGCATTGGTAAACTGTGTGCTTCATACGGACGATCACACCGTAATGGTCGCCGGCGGGGAGTGCCTTCGTAGCTTTATCAATGTTTCGCCAGAGCAAATTTGTAACTACAAGAATGGCGAGGGTGTCAACTATGTGATGCAAGTGGCGACAGTTTTGCTAAATCCCATGAATGCAGAGATGACCGCCGGTGGCCAAATCGGTCGACTGATTATCACCATAATCACAAAAATGGGCAACATGCTGGGCCAAACTGTGGACATGCTGCTAAAGGCCGTCATTAGCAAAATGCAGAACCTCGAGTGTCTCAAGGTCATTATGAATTTGGTGTTGATATTCGCTCATCTGTTTCTTACCCAAATGGATGCGGTGCTTAACTTTTTGTCTACGGTTCCCGGACCCAATGGCGAGCCCGCATTGCAGTTCGTTCTTACCAATTGGCTGTCGCGTCAAAACTCCTTCTTCGGTGCATACGAGCGAAAGGTGCGTCCACAAATAATCGTGATGGCATTTAAATAGAGTTTAATAATATTTCTATTATTCTCAGGTTACCACGATGGCCCTTTGCAAGCTCTTTGAATATGGCGTGGCCACCCAGGACAACCGTCTGACATCCATAACVTACAAGGAGCTAGTGGAGGAGCCGAGCGGCGATCGCATACGCACACGCTCAGTTGCATCGTCCTATCAAAAATGGGTTACGATTCCCGCACTTGTAAAGATCTTTAAAGTTCTCATATCCGAATATCAGCACTTTCAAGAGGGCAAAACGGATGCGCCGCTTACAGACTCCGAAGATGAAGTAACCGAGGAGGATGATGCCCCTGGCAATGCCAACAAGCCGCGCTACATTTCCGACTTGTGCTTCGATTTCGACGAAGACAATGCCGAGGACGAGCAAGTGCTGCAGGGGCTGCTCAAGGAATGCAACTACACAGGCGACATTGGCGAAAATTTACAAAAGTTTTTCACAAACTTCACTCAAAACGAACATTTTCCCACATTCTACGAACATCTCAACGAATCCGAACGCCTTGTCCTGCTGGCCAAGGCACAGCAAAAGTAATTTAAATTTACGGTCTTCAGTACAGACTTTATGAAATCTATAGCATATGTTTTACAGCTCATTGTGTTAATCCTATTTAATATTTGTTACAAAGCATTCAATTAAATAAAATCAATATTTTTAGCGTATATTTACGAACTGCGTCTGCATCAAACCTGTAATGCCATACCGACAACCATATATAAAAGAAGTAGATCTGATTTGTTTAAGCATATATTTCCACTTAGCTCTGTATATATAATGCATATATTCCATATTTGTTAGTGGAAATAGAATTAGCTAAAGAGCCACCTCATCGCTGCGCAGTTTGTGTTGAAGGGGAACTTCGATCTACAGTTTATAAAAATTTGGAAATTAGTTGCTCTTGATTGAGGATTACATTTGATTACCTTTGGCTCGTGCGAGTCAGGCTTGAAGAACCTTCGAATACAAGGCGTAAGCAATACCGGATCAACTTTATTGGGAACGTTAGTGCTGAAGAATAGAGTGCTGAACAGGGCAACGATTATGGTAACCGAGGCGCCTAAGGTCGTGTACCACATGTATGATATTCTATACAAAGGAAATATATCCCTGCAATAAAACAGTCATATCACTAGAGAAGTGCAGTAGCAAACGGTGTAAAGGGTGCACTTACTCCGCTGAGGGTCCATGAAGATGGGTGGCATTGGCAGCGCTGGAAACCAGGGCAGCTGCATTGAAGCTGTAGCTGCATTGATCAACGTTTAGCGGTTTGGTTTGATAACGAATGGCGCCAGATGCGATGGCCCACTGCGCATTCAGACTGACCCAAGACATGACTACGACTCCGACGCAGCCACCGAGAATAGCGCTCTGGAAGAGTAAAACTCGTACTAAAAGGAGTAAATTAATTAAAAACACTGTAACACACATTTCCACTGATCCACGGCATGAATATGCCTATAGTAAAGATGCCAAATAGAGGTCCATTTGTTATCGACTCCAGGCTCATTGTCAGCTGCAGCACAGTGCCCATATGCTCAACCACGTAGACCAAGGCCACACAAAGTGCTCCAATACCTACGACCACCATACGCATGACCCAGTTGGTGGCCCGACTCGATAACGGTTTCTTAACATAGGGTTTGACAAAGTCCTCCAGGACAACAGCAGACATGGAGTTCAGGCAGGTGGAAAGCGAACTGAGAGCAGCACTAAAGACGCCTGCAATAAATAGACCCGTCATTCCAGGCAACTCTCCCAGCGTGTCCATCACAAAGAGAGGCAGAAGCTGATCACGTGCCTTCGCCAGCTGTGGATGGAATTAAGTGGGATAGTAAGTTAAAGAGAGAGAGAGAGAGAGTGAGAGAGAAGGAGAAATGTGGAAAGCATTTACGTGCCTTGGTAGTAAGTGGATCACAGTTCTGATATGTCGCATAAATGAGCAGTCCATTGTAACCACACAAAGCCATCAGGATCAAGACGCCAACACAAAAGATGACCAGAGCCTTGCGAGCATCCGCTAAGGTGGGCAGGGATAGATAACGCTGTATCATGTTCTGGGAGACGGCATTGGTCTGCGTCCAGTATACAATGCCACCCAGAAATAAGCACCAAAATGTATGACGCACTGTGGGATCAATGCTGAGACTACAAAAGATATGATATTTAGCTAGAATCCTTTTAGCGAGCCCCAACTCAACTCACTCTGGCGGCTCCAGTCTATTTGAGTTCCAAGCGCGTTCCACTACCACACTAGCTCCACCAATGTCCATGCTTCCTTTTATGGCAACGAGAGCAAGGGCACCCAACATGGACACCGCCTGTACCACATCCGTCCAGACAACGGCCTTCAGGCCACCCATGCTAGTGTAGAACACACAAATGATGCAGACAATCGGCGTAATGGTGTGAACACCTATTCCGGTTACCTGATTGAATGCTAGTGCCGGCACATAGATCACAATGGGAAGATAGGCTACCTACAAAATAAATGTGATAAGACCTGACTTGGATTGTGGAGCTTTATCATGGATACTCACATTCATAATTGCGAACATAATTGAACCAAATAAACGAAGACGACGATCGAAACGTACCTCCAAGTACTATAAGAAAAGATCATTTAAGTAAAATTTAGTTTTATTATTGTATTATTTTCAAGTGATTAATCATAATAAAGTAATGGTACACGCATAAGTTATCTAAGTGAGCAATATGGTGGATTAATGCGGCCAGACAGAGAATGAAATGAGTGGATTTAAAGTACTTTATAAAGCCGGAAACATCATTGTTTTTAATTTAATAAAACACAAAGAGACGCCCGTAATTTTCACTAATATTCTCAATCTGATATGATTTATAGATGTTACTGCTTACCTCATAGGTGGACGTAATGTTCAGATCGTGGAAAACGGGCAAATAGAAGACACCCATCACAATGCCCATGCCAATGACTCCGAAGGATACATATAGATACTGTATACCGTACGAGTACACCTCTGTGGGCAGTCCCAGTAATGTGATTCCAGAGATAAAGCTGGCCACCAGCGAGAAGGCAATGGGCACCACCAGCATTTTGCGGCCACCTAGCATATAATCATCCTCGGAGATGGATTTCTTCATGAAACCAAAGTAAATGCCAATGCCAATGCATAGCAGAAACATCGCCACGAAGGCTACATAGTCGGGCCATGCGAATCGCTGCAGGTCTCTCAGAATGTTTTCAATGTTATCCATTTTGCAGCTGGAGTTCCTGAATCAGACGAGACGTCTGATCTTCCGCAGTGACAATGTGGACTAAGCCGCGCTACGATTACATATGTTTGTCTGTGATTCACTGAATCACTGGGCTCCATTGCTAGCAGCAGCTGTGGGCGCTAGTCGGCGGCTCTGTGATTCAATCCAATTTTGCTCAATTGTCAATTGTGGGGCAATTTAGGTTCCGGGCAAAGCACAAAATCCACATGTACGTATATATGAGTTTAGTTTAGCTAATCAGTTGGCGTGTTTTATACCTAGAGAGAATTGCGACACTTTAGCGTCAGCTTCAACATTTTTCATAGCGTTGACCTTACAAATAAGTGATTTTGCTTTATTTCTGGATAAAAAAAAGTGTTGACCCCCAAATTGTAAAAGAAATTTGCATAATGTCTAGTTCTCGGTTCAAACAATCAGAAGGTGCTACATCTATTTTTTTTTTAATAAAATTTAGTTCTGAGAATATTTACTTAAATTTATTTTGATTAATATAATATACTACCAGTGGCATTTCGTTATACTATTTATTAAAGACTGCCTGGGCTAAATATAATAAAATAAACGAACTAATTTTTGCGAATGTCTATTTTAAGATTATTAGATTATTAGCAATCATCATAATAATAATTATTTTCATACTTAACGGAATTCAGTTCGCAATCCCCAAAACTATTATCGATTAATATATTTTAAACAGTCGTTATCGATGACTTATCAGCTTGCCGCCACAAACACACGCGAGCTGCGGCAAAATAAATAATTGGCTTTCTGCAATATTAAATATTTTAATTGTATATAATGTTATCCAATCCTACAGGAAGTAGCGTACCAGACAAGGCGTGGCAGCCACCTTTCGTTACACTAGAAACAACGTGAGTATTTATTAACAACCGGCAAATGCTGATGATACATTTATTCTAATTCTTAGCATGGGCGAAATAACCGTGGAGCTGTACTGGAAACACGCACCAAACACAGTACGTACACTACATTGACATAAATTATTCAATAGCTCATGATTTTTCATAACTTCAGTGCTATAACTTCGCGGAGCTGTCACGACGCGGGTATTATAACAATGTCGTGTTTCATCGCATTATTCGCGATTTTATGATACAAGGTGGCGACCCAACGGGGACTGGACGCGGCGGCACCTCGGTTTATGGCGGAGAATTCGCGGACGAGCTGCACAGTGACCTTAAGCACACCGGTGCCGGAATACTGTCAATGGCGAACTCTGGCCCAGACACAAATGGCTCACAGTTCTTTATCACCTTGGCTCCCACGCAGTGGCTGGACAACAAGCACACAATTTTTGGACGTATTTATACAGGCATGGAAGTGGTGAAACGTATTGGTATGGTAGAAACGGATAAGAATGATCGACCCGTGGATCCGGTTCGCATAATTAAGGCCAAAGTAGAGAAACTGTAACCAGAACTACCGCATATTTAATAAATTAATTAATTTTAATATTATATGATATTTTCCAATATTAATTATTTTGCAACTCGTCCTTTAGTATCCACGATGCTGCTCGCATGGCAATAGCTGCAATAACAGTATTTGGATTTCCCGAAACGGGTCGAGGCAGCACACTAGCATCGACAACACGCACGTTAGATATACCATGCAATCTGGTTTCATTGATAGTAAGCTTTAGATCTGTTAGAGAATTCTATGTAAAAGAATCTACCTTAACTGCGAGTCAACGACACTGCCTAGAGCACAACTCCCACCCGGATGGTGTGAGCCCAGTCCTATATGCCGCATGAGACATTCCAAATAATTATCCGAAGGTTGGTGCTCAAGGAAATCTCTTTTGAACGGTCCAAAATTAGCGCACTCCTGTAGTTTGGGCCAATGAATATGCGGTCGCAATTTGCTAAAAGCGGACGATGTGACAATCTATAAAAAAAAAAACTATATTTGTTAGCAGATTCGAATTTGTAACTTGTAACCAGCAGTTACCTTCACAGCATTTCTTATGGCTGCTATAGTACAGGCCACATCCTGCTCATCGCTTAAATATTTGAGATCAATTAGAGGATTTCTACGCATTGTTTTATGAAGCAATGAAACAAAGCCCCTTGATCTCGGTTGCAAGCAACTGGATATGACAACGAATCCTTCCTGGGAAGCATTATGATAGCGTGGGAAAAGCGCCCGAAATGCTGAACGCTTGAAGTTTGAAATAGACATGAGTGCACTTTCATCTATGGCGCCAGCGCCAAAGAAGGTGATGCCAAAGGGCATCGGCTCCTCGTAACCAGCTACATGTCCAAGCACTCCAAAATTTCCGAAGGCCCCAGTGCCCGTATTAAAATATTTAAATAGGTTCATTGGATTAAGCAGCGTTCGCTGATTCAGCGTAGGTCCGATAATGTCTATTGAGACGAACAGAGGCACATTCAAATGATCATGCAGTCCCTGACCCACCAGTGGCAAATGATATTGCACAGGCAGTCCCACCTCCTTCAACAGTTTGGTGTCACCGATTCCAGAGGCCAGAAGCAGTTGCGGACTTTGGTAGGCACCTGCACAAAGCAACAACTCACGCCGTACTTTGATGTTAAACTCGAGCTCCTTGTTCTGCTCATCCTTAATACCTACTACAACGGAACTGGCTTTTAGATTGGAGCTCGGGGATAGGTTTATACGCTTGACTAGTGCCTGGGGCAGCACACGAAGATTCACGCTGTTGATCACGGGCAAGAGAAATTGTTGCAGCACCGAATGCCTTAATCCGTTCTTGATATTGTAAATGGACCGTCGAAATTGCCAAGGTTCGTGCATAAATTCTGCAGCTGCTTCGTCTAGAGCTTCCGATAACAGGGAGTAACTACGTGGTATTTCATAAAGCTCCTCCTTCTTAGGCTTAGCGGCAGTCATAAAAGGACTCACGTCATTCCAACTCCAATCGCTTACGTTGTGCAATTTATGCCACGAGTCAAAGTCGGAAGCACGACCATCGAAATGTAGCATATAGTTGAGATTAGCTGATCCACCCAAGCCCTTGCCTCTTGGCAGACACTGACGTTTCTCAATCAAGCCCTTGGACGAGTACTTCTGAGGCACCGAGAGAAAAGACCAGTCATTAATGCCTTTTTGTTGAAATGTTGCTAGCAGAGGAATCCGACTAAAATAGCCAAAAGAGCCACCAGCCTCAATAAGCAATATACTTCCATTGCTGTGCTTGGCCAATAGAGAGCTAAGCGTAGAACCAGCCGTACCAGCTCCAACTAGAAGAGTGAATATTCCAAAATGAATCTAGTATAGCGGTGACATCACTTACCACTTACCAATAAYATAATCAAAGACAAGTTCTCTGTTCTCAAGTTTTAATACATTAGGTATGTTGTCTTCATGCAATTTACAAACAAGAATCAACAATGCCGCAAAAAAACCAATGACGATGGCGCCAATACACAGCAGTTCTATAATAAAAGATTTGTATATAAAACTAAATCCACAAATAAATAAAAAACAGACTTACTTTGAAAATGCACTCCCATGTTGTGTTAGTACCCTGATATGATGAAATACAACTAAGTGGTTGGCTAAACTCACAGAGAAAACTGAAAGTAAACCGCCACAGACTAATCCAATTATAGGCCCATTTGTGGGCACAGAGATGTCAGGCTAGTAATTTGAAATAAAGCGCGAACTCTGGCACTTATCGATTTATCTGTGGGTATTTGCTTATCGCAAGTACATAAATAAAAATCAAATTTATTTCTTGTATATGGCTCATTTGTTTTTTTTTAAGTACATTTACAAATAGCGGTTAAACTAATTCGCATTGACTTTAAATTAATTCCAAGTTTATTTATTTAAATTAAATAGACAACTGTACAACCAAAGAGATATACAATGACAGTCTACTATGGCTCAAAATGTTACAATATATTTTAAATTTACTACGACTTTTGAGCTTCAAACAGGAGAGTTTAAACTGCCTGTCTCGTGAATATTATAGTGTCTTTGAATTACTGCAACCATTTTCCAATTGGAAGATATGCTGAAGTTCAAAAAATGATATCAAAATGATTATCATTTTGTGTGAATGGCAAATTGTCGGCTCATTGTGTTAATTGCAATCAGTTGTTCAATGCTCATAATATTAACTGTTGGTGTTTGTGCGAATACATATTGAGTGTTTATCGCTCTCCGTTGTTATTGAGCGCTCTAAGCAGCGCTTTATTGAATCAGCGCTGACCACGGTAATAATATGCAGGCGTCGCTTATCACTTGTTGTTATGGTGCCACAAGTGAAAATCAACATCTCACCCCCAGTAACAATAGCAACAACAACAACAACAGGGCAACAGCTGCTGGTGTAACAAAAACAAAAGTGGCTCATCGAACAATAGGCAGATACAATCAGCAAATGAATGATTCGTTGACAGATGTACTTAGAAGCTTGCAGTAGTCGGTCGCCAGTGTGCAATGAACTCTGTTAAACGCGTAGCCTTAAATACATCAAATCGGCGCTAGTAAAATATCAATCAACAGGTGTTTACAATGTCACATCAGCAGCAAACAGAGCTGCAGCAGCTAATTGAGCTGYTACTCAGGGAAGAGGAAGAAGTGATACAGGTACAATGGCGCAGAACAATTGATCGTTTTTCTTGTATAATAATCATTCGGGTCTTTGCAGTCCTTCATCAAAAGTTTTGGGGGAAGTGGTGCTCAATTACATCTCGAGCACTGGCAGACTCTCCTAGTGAAATCTCCATATCCGGTACTCCAAATTTTGAACTTGCTATATAATCAGTCCAAGTTCTACATAGGCCGCATTGTTAGTGGGGCGTTGAAAGATATGTTGGATGGCAATGACACTTTCACCACAACTCCCCCCTGGACTCGTTTCCTCAGCGTACTGGCGAACGTTCCGCAACAGATACTGGAGGCGGAACAATTAGAACAAAGTCTGATCGCACATCTTGTGAATGATGCCTTGTGCAACAATGAGTATTTAATGCTGGCATTATTGGCTCGACAAGATCCGCACTTATTAAACACAGTGTTGCACAAGCAACAGCAACAGCTGGAARTTSAGTGCACCAACTCAGCGCCTACAAGTCAGTTGGTGTTACATCTGGCTCTCAAACAGCGAGAGCACTTTGTACCTAGAGTGTGTCAACAGTTGAAGAATTTTGAATGTATTCATGATCGGACATTACGAAATACTCTTCTAATTTTGCGACTAGCCAACGAATTTGCCCTGAGCTCACAGACGTTGGACGAGTTGGCTGAGTTGGATCAACCTCTAGCCGCCTTTGACGTAGCTGCAGTGTCCGCTGAGCTGCAGCCAGTGCACCAGTTCTTCTTTGCAGACTTCCAACGAATTTGTGTGATACTCAAGTTTTTGAAGCAGCAACAAGATGGAAATGCCTTCAAGACAATCAAGGTAGACGCGCTGCTTCGGGCACCGGGTGTGCTTTCTTTGATTTACGAACATGGCATCGAGTGTGATAAGGAGCAAGTGTTTCAGCTCATTGAGCAAACCTACAAATGGCAACAACAAACACCAGCACTCAAGAACGTACGTACTGAGGAGCTGGAAACGTGGAGCTATTATACAGCCCTCTGTCATGTCTACAATGTGATATTGGAGTCACACGACACCTCRGTGAGASGCCAGTTGTTRTTGCTCTCCACCCAGCTGCGTCAGCTACGTGAAYTGGTTACACTTTCCTCTCTACTAGAGGACRTATTCCAAMTCGTTTTCTTGCGCTGGGAACAGCTGCAAAATACAAAGCAATCTGAGTACGACGACAACAAGGATGAGGATAACGATGATGATGAGCAGTATGTGGACGATGATGCGACACCTGCACGCTCGTCTTATGTCAGCAATGCGCAAAGGCGACGCTACGGCTTCATTTGCCGGGGTCCGGCTTTGTACGCATTGTTTAGCTATCTGAAAGGATTTGTGACTAAGAAGTTGCACACTCAGGACTTCAAGTACGCCTCAGAGGAGCAACAGCAGCGCTTTCAGCGCTTAGTGGATGCCATCAGTGARGCGCTCTGGAAGTTCAGCGTTCTACAAAAGATTGATCAATCATTGACGAAAGCAACGCCGGCTTTAGGCTGCCGCTTTGAGCCGGAACAGATGTTGCAGCTGATTCAATTGCATAGTCACTTACGTGAGAAGGCTTCGAGTGATGATGAGAGCAGGGAGCGCATCTTTCACGCATCCAGTCTAACAAGGCGAAAGTCGCGCCGGCAGAGACGAGCGGCCAGTTTTAGTGGAGCGGCTGGTGGCAGATTATCTGAGACGCCGACTCTTGAACAGTGTCGCGCTCGTGCCCAGCAGCTGCTGCTGAACGAAAATGCAGGCAACGACGAGCTGCAGAGCTCCGTGACGCAGTCAGTGGAACGCTCTATTATACCAAAGATGCTCAGCACGCCCGAGCAGTTGGCGATCATGGCGCTGGCTCTGAAGAACTTTAATGATGTTAAATACATAATTGAGGTAATCAAAATCAAGTTAAGCTGCTATATAACARAACTAATTTTACTTTGCTCATAGACTTTTCACCTGGAGCACACGCAGTTGAGTCGCGAGCTACAGTTCATGGAGCATCAGCAGTTGATCAAACAAAAGTTGGCTAACATCTATGCAAACTATGAGACCTTGGCTGTTGAGGCCAGTTCCACCAGCAGCAACGCCACGACCACAGTGGAGCAAATCAAAAGTGTGGCTGCCAAAGGCTTTGAGCTATCTAAGATCATCAGCGTGGTGGACAATTTTGCCCAGTCGCAGAAGCTGCAACACAGCGCTGAATTAAAAACACTCTTGCAACGTCACTGCGCAAATGGTCAATATGGCTTTCTACAACAGTTCCAGGAGCGCAACCTTAATGCCCTCATTGTCTTCGATTTGATTATCAATCTGCGCTTTAATCGCGAAATTACGTGCAATCTGCTGCTGGTTATACGACGCCAACAGCAGCAGCTCCAACAGCAGCCATCAACGATAAATAGACCATGTGAGCCTAGTCCGAGGGAAATCGGCGCCATGTACTTATTGGAAAATCTCTGCGAGTGCATGCGTCTGCTGGAGCGCGGTGGTCGCCAATCGGCACTTAATGAGCTGCTCTGCCGGCACAGCTATCCATTGAGACCAGCAGCCTTGGCCTTGCAGCTACAGCGAGAATCCGCCTTTAAAACGCTGTACCAGAAGGCCTCGTCGGATTATGCTCATTCTCAAGAACTGCGCGCCCATTCCGCTCTCTTTCAGCAGCTCAAATCGCGGCAGAATTACTACACACGCTTCTGCAGTTATGTGCAGCAGCTGTCACGTCTTCTCCAGTTRCGCGACCCCAATCTRGAGTATCACAACACGCAGCTGTTGCGTCACGATCCCTACCAAGTTATTGGCGAGCTGATTTACGAATGCGACATCACTCCGCTGGAGATCGAAGGAAATGTGGCTGCACTTCATCTGAATCTCGTGCATGTCATCGCTCTCAACATTTGTCCACAGTTGATGGATGGCGGTGGCAAACCGGAGTCACGTTCGGTATCGCCACAAAAACAGGAATCGATTCACAACTATATTTCGCAGCACAATCAGTTGCTGGCCCAACTACTGCAGGCGGTACAGCTGAATGCGCTGCCAGAGATCGGCGAATCCGAGGCGGGCTTGCACTTTGACTGTCTTCGGCAGTTGATGCAACTGCCTGAAATAGAGACGCTGTCGCATATGCATCAAGGGAATCTTGTTATGGCTGCTCTGCATGCCTACAAACTGGACAGTGCTACATTGGCGCGATCGGAGCTTAGCAATGAGCTACAGCTGCAAATACTTCTGTTGGGCATTGGCGGACAGGCTGGTGAGTCGACCACTTATTATTTTCACTAGTCAGAAAGATTTAAACTTGTTTCGTTATCCAGAGCCAGAGAACAAATTGAAGACACGCGTAGACAGTTTAATTAGTGAACTGATTGCAGAAGATGCTCGACACATACAGCTGACTTTGTATATGCAGGATCTGGGGCAGCGAGCACAGCTGCTACATGAGCACTTCACCAAAATCTCCAGCAGCCAATTAGCGAAAGAGCTAATCGAGCACACGCTGGAGCATCGGGCGGCGGCGCTTGCTATTCCGCTCAAGTTACGCACTCAACTGGAGCATACACTGTCGGATATTACGATATATGCGAGAGTATCGGCTCTCCTCCATTTTGAGAGTTGGCCACAGGCCTACGATTTTGGTCGCCAAACGCCTAACGTCATCTTTGAGCAGCTGCTTCAGGGGCGGCATTATGAGCTGTGCTACGACTGGTGCCGCATGGTGCAGTTGGCGGACGCAGCTGGACAGCAGCGTGTCTGCCTGCTCACACTGCTTGATGCATTCCTAGAGCTGGGCGATGAAGATGAATTGGACACACATCTGCTTCGCATTGCAGAGCTATTTCCAGCCACAGTGCTGGTTAACTTCCTGGATACACATAAAGACAAGATGCGTTCGTTGCCGCTGCTGCAATGGTTGGTTGACTATTTGGAGGCAAACGCACGTGATGCGCGTCCCTATCTCAACTATCAATTCTCACTGGAGCTTCTCCGGCAATTACCTGCCGATGAGCGACAGCATTTCTGGCCACTCTTACGCTATCCATTGCTGATTATCGAACAGTTGGTCATGAATACGCGCTTTGAACTGCTCACCAAGCTGCTGGAACCGGCACGGGCCAAACTTTTGCAGCGCATGCCCTTGGGACCCTGTGGCTACTGCTTTGAAAAGCGTGGTCATGCCTACGATGTCCATAGCAGTGGCACCACCACAGGCAAAAGCGGAAGCAAGCTGCGCTTTCAGCTGGGTCAAACCAATTCGGAAGCTTTCATTCTGCTCAATTTTAATTCTTATCAGCAAGATCATGTGGTCAGCAATGATTGCCTTGACTTGTTGCTGCGCATTTATGCCAGCAAGGCACTGGACTATCAGATAGCCAATGTACGGAATGGAGTCGGATCAGAGCCGGGCTCCTTRGGCACCGACGTCCACAATTCTCTSGACTCACTGTGTGGCGCCTTTCAAATTCCTCCACAGGCGCCAACTCGAGAAGAGTGGATACCTGATGAAAGTGCCACCCACTGCATGTGCTGCCGCCGTTCCGCGTTCACAATGCTGATGCGTCGTCATCATTGTCGTCGCTGTGGCCGAGTTGTTTGCTATGCTTGCTCCACGCAACGCATGGCCATTCCAAAGCTGTACGGCGATGTGGAGGTGCGCGTCTGTAATGATTGCTATAAGCCTGTCATTGCCGAGAAACCGATAAACATTCAAAACGAAACTCATCCGGTCATTCCACGTTCCACGAGTTCATCGGACGTCTATAAGTGGCTCCTGAGTGGCATCATTACCCACGACAAATTGCTGCGCGAGGAGTTCTGCTATGAGCATGCGCCTAGTGTAGCGCTCTGTCTATCCATATTGCGACATCATTTGGATCAGCGACAATGCGTGGACCTGTTGCTATATCACTGTCGTAAACTAGAGAAGCTCATAGTGCCCAATCCAGAGGTTGACTACGACCTTGTTGCTAAAATGATCAACTGCCTGGCATTGGCAGCGAAGGTAAGTTGCAATATATAGAATTTGTTTGCTTTCATCARCGGGTATATTGCTGTCATAGGTCCGTGGTGCTCCCGCTGAATTTGAGACCATACGTGAACACTCGGAGATTATCATGGCCGTCGTACAGCAGGGCTGCGAGTCACTCATACCCGCAGGGCCACTGAATAATCATAGTGTGCGTCAATTGGGCGATGCTCTTATCGAGGCAGAGCATTGGAAATTAGCGTTGGATGTGCACCTTAAATGGGGCTTTGCTACCACTGGTGTAATGGCTGCTCATGGGCTGGCTTCCTTACGCGCCGGCTGCTATGACTCAGGTCAGCAAGTCTAGTTGCCTTCCTCAACTATATCACTCAATCCTCCGTTATTTTATAGCACGTGAAAAGCTTGCGCATTGCATGACTCGTCTGTCCACAGAAGAGCAAAACAGTTGCATATACAAACATATTTTCGGAAAGGAATTAAAGGCACCAGCATCGTTACCAGTTGCCAAAACTAAGAAACGTCCGCAGCGTGGACCTGCCCTGCTACAGGAGATTCTCCAGCTGATTGCAACAATGCCCCAAGCCCAGCCACAGCCAGAGACTCTGCAGCGTGCATCTCTCATACGCAACTCAAATACCTCGCTGGCCTCACTCTTCTCGCGGCGCCGAGAGCCGTACGTGGTGCAGACGCCATTACGAGAACCAGCTCTTAATGTGATCAATGCATTRGCTAATTTGAAGCACATTGCCAAGGGTCAATACGGGGAGCCGACTGTGCGGAATTGCATCGAGGCCCATCGTCAGTCACGCGCCTTCGAAGAATCGCTGCATTATGTGTTTATGTATGGCAGTCACACAGACATTCTTCAGTTCTTAATGCAGCACGACGAGCTGCGCGCAGCTTTGCGCTATTGGCAACTGCAGCAGCTGGAATCGGATMTCTTCATACAACAAATATTCCAGGTATCCCTGGCCGGAGGTCGTTTACCAGCGCTGATTGAGGAGCTGCAGGGGCTTGATTCCGATACTCATTTAAGTGCTTGGCGCRTGCCRCTATTACAGACGTGCCGATACTTGGAGCAGCAGCAACAGCTCAATTCGCTGTACCAACTGCAACTACTGCTAAAGGATGCTGTTCGCGCGAGCATGACTTGCGTAAAGTTTTATCCTCTGCACTGTGATAACTTTCAAAAGTTGCACGCCAATGCGCAACATTTAATGTCAGCACACATGCACCTCCAGGGTGAACTAGATCTGGCCCAGTGGGAGCATCTTCAGCGTGAGCAGCAACGAGCAGGTAGCAGGCGTGCCAGCGTTGTCAGCAGCAATACGAGCAGCACTTGCTTTGCCATGCAGCTGGATGCACGTACTTTGAATGGCCACATCAATACGATACGACGCCAACTAGAACTGGCTAAGTTCTTGGCTCAGTGCGAGAGGGAACAACCGCCAGTGAATGGCATGCTGTGCACTTTACACATATTGAAACAGATCCGGCCAGAGGCTCCGCGCGGTTCTTTGCCCACATTGTTTGATAGCACTGCCGAAAAGATTCAGCTTTGCATTCTAGTACTTCTATGCGGCAAGAACATCGATGAGGGCTTTGGCCTGGCCTACGGGTAAGCAGATTTCTTCCTGTAGTCAATAATCGATTGCATGGTTTATCTTTTCGTTCGCAGCATCATTCAGGACTATAAGTTGACGCCAATGAAAGTGTTCGGCGCTACGGCCAAATATTTGGCGAAAAATCAACGCCTGAACGAGGTGGAGCGCCTTTTGGACTGCATAGCTAGCAACAACGGCAGCAGCAGTAGCAGCTCGGACTCGGACGAGCTTCTCTCGATTGCCGTCAATGCAGCTGTGCACAGCAATGAGCCCGAGACGAAACATGTATTGGATAAATTGATCAAGCGCATCGGAAATGTGGAGCTGCGCATATCATCATACATGTTTATTGGTCAACTTAAGTCAGCCTACTTGTTGGCCAACAAACACGATCGCCTGGGAGACATACGCAAGATCTTAAGGCAAGCVGAGATGACGAACCAAATACATATTAAGAAGCTGTGTGAGAAAAAACTGAACATTAATTCAACTCCAATGTCGCCAACGCCACTGTGATACAAATAATCAGGCAATATATAAAGTCTAATTTTGGTAGATTAATTTTATAAAACTAATTGTAGAGAAATTGATTTTAAATCGTTCCGAAAACCAATGCGTTGGTCAAGTATTTCTTAACCCTTTGCTCAAAGACTCATACAAGGTACCAAATTATATTCATATATTTATATATACACATATACAAATTATCAATTTATTGTCTTTACCATCCTATTGTACTAGTATTTAATTTTTATTGTTTATTAAATATAAAAYATTGTTATTCAACCATACCGCCAACATGACATCGATAAATGTGCTGCTCGCTATATATGTATATGTATATCGATAAGTGGGACATATGAGTGCAAGTGTTTTTATAGGATAAATTGGCACTTTGTTTATTAAGTTTCTATATATTAAACTTTAAAGGATTAACCTTAATAATGCGTGCCGTAATTCAACGTGTTAGGGCCGCTAAAGTCACGGGTAAGGATTCACTTCCATTGAATAAATTTTCGCCTAATCTGGACATCTTATAGTGCTGGATGAACTGGTGTCAACTATTGGACCTGGACTATGTGTTCTAGTGGGCATCAARTCTAGCGATACGATARCAGATGTCGAATATCTGTAGGTAAATATCTAACTGACACATAATGAGGCAATTTCTGACTGAGCCYTTAGAGTGCGCAAGATTCTCGCATTGCGACTGTTCGAGGATGAAGGAAAACGTTGGCAAAAGTCTGTCAAAGATTTGCAGCTAGAAGTTCTATGTGTATCCCAGTTTACACTATATCATCGATTGAAGGGCAACAAACCAGACTTCTCTGCAGCTATGAAAGGTGAAGATGCCCAGCAGCTATATAGTCATTTTTTGAATAGACTGTGCCAATCATATGATTCCAGCAAAATCAAAGGTAATGTTTGTGTTCTGTATAAAACTGGGCTCAACATTTTATTTGATTTGATTTTTTGGTGCAATGTCAGATGGAAAGTTTGGTGCTTATATGCAAGTCCACATAGAGAATGATGGCCCCGTTACCATTGAATTGGAGTCTCCACAGCCGAAGCACTCCGAAGAATGTGTAGATAAATAAAATATGTAGTACTCTCCTATTAAATAAATTGTTGTCTACAAATTTGATTTACCACATATTTTAATTTTCTCTGCTGTAAACTTAACCCTAAAACTATTTAAAATGTTTTCAATTAAGACTCTAGCATTTCCAAGTCTGCCTCCGTCATGCCCTCCTCGAGTCTCTTTTCTAGCTCGCGTGCATCCACATACGTGATCTTCTCCTCTGGCAGGTCTTCGTCCATAAGGGCGTCTTCCTCAGCCTCTTCCTTGGCGCGGCGTTCCCTCAAGCCAGCGGCTGGTGAACGTATGAGCGACATATTTCGTTGCACATCCTTAACATCCATTTGGATCTCAACCTGTCGGCCCTTACGCAGACGCTCCATGACAAAGTGCTTTTCACGACGCTCCTTAATCTCTGTAACCTTCTTAATCGCTGTAATTGCCTTCTGCCAGGTATCGCGATTGTATTTGATGGGCACATTGCGGCGTTTCTCGAACTCGAAACTGGGGTCAATTGTTAACTCCTTTCCGGCTGCCTTGCGATGTGCCTTTGTCCATGCTACTTTACGTGGGTTCTTCTTCTTCTTAAAGGCTTTGTGACATTTGCCTCGACAAAATTTAAAAATCTGGAAAAAAAAACAAAGGCGTATGGTCAGAATTGTGTACTGTGTATGTTTAAGCGGATAGGAATAAAGTTTATATTGTTACTTACTTTGCAGTCATTGCGTACAAAGTGTACCCCATGCCCAGGGTATATTTTGCTGGAGCAAAAGTAGCACGTGTCGATGCGCATTTTTACAAATTATACAAATAATTTGTAAAAATAAAACGCACAACTVTCAACACGTGTGTTGTTAAAGAAAGGTAGACGCAGAGCTGCCTTTGATTGTTCTAATAACTTTCGATAACTATCGAATGCAATATGTATGAATAAAATCACCGATAGTTTAACTTGGTTTTTTGCACTAACCAGAGAGTGGTTAGTGTTTTTTTGTATTTATTAATCTTCATATATTTATATTTCATCAAAATTCCAAGTTAATCGCTAATTAAGATATGTTCTGGTTTTTAAACCTTGCTCTACGGCAATTCAACAAATTTAATCAAATTCAATAGTAATAATTATCATTGTCCATTTTACACTTGGGCTACTTCTGTTGACTGTTCTTGATTCTTTAAAGCCTGTTTCATGTTGGCCACCTTGTTGAGATTGGCAAGACGCTTTAGTGTTTCCAATTCTTTTATAAACGTTGCCATGGCCTCTTTGGTGGTGGACATATTTGCATCTTTCAAATCGGTCAGAGTATCTTCTTTTTCAAGCTCTAAAAAGAAGTACAAAGAACATATTAAGTACATGTTGAGTTTCATCTGCAGGAAGTACTTACCGTCTATTTCACCTTCTATCTCATTGAGACGATTCATTAACAGCGATTGCTGTATCTTAACGTGTTCTATCAAACGGTACTGGCATTCCTCTGGGTCGATTGCAGCCTCCGGTTGCGGCACGTGCGGCCAGTCGGATTGTTCGGCCTTTGGACGTTTCACAGGGGTGGTTGCGTTCTCAGCCTGATCTTCGTCCCACTTCTTAGCCCACAGATATAGCTTGGGATGGTAACGATTGCGAGCAATATTGATCTTCACTAATAAGGAATGCATTGAGCGTTTAGCATCTAGTAAATTGCCCGTAAGTGTGTGAGATCGTTTTAGCAACTCGAACTTTTTGGGTGCCTGAGGATTTGGCGTATGATACCCAGCCACAGGCAGTTTGCCCTCGAAGAGCCAGTCCTGATCATGCTTGAAGCGCATCGAATCACGAACACGCGACGGATTGCGACAAATGTAGCAGACGTATTTATCTGGTACATCCGCTTCTTTGAGAATGCCATTACAAGCACCATGCTGCCAACAGAGGCACAGCTCACATTGGATCATAAGGCCATCCTCTTCCCCATATTCACAAATGCAATTTATGATTTCCTCCTGCCTCATGCGAACTATACGTATGAGCTCGCCGTTCTCCTTGATGTACTGTGGAGTCTGATTAGCCTGTTGTGGCGGCGGTGGCGCCAATGCTGCATTTATGTCTACCAGATCGTTTGACGAWGGCGTTGACATCGGATCGATGATTGGTGAACTAACCGGAGTTCCAGAGAGAGCGACACGTCGTTTCTTGGCATCATTACGAACATCGGGTGTGGGCGTGTTACACGACTGTCGTGTATCTTCGAAACCTGCTCCAGATGCTGGTGAGTTGTGGGCATTGGTTGCCGCTGGCACATTCTCTTGCGAGGCGTCTACATAGCGACGTTGGGTACGTTGTCGGCTGCTCTTACGGGAACCAGACGAGCGCTTGTTGGATGAAGCACGCGCACGTTTGGTGCCCCGGCTTGTGACGACTGGTGTACTGGATTTAGTCGTCTCCTGTGGTGCTGAAATAGGTGAAACTTCTACAGGCGGTGGTGCCACGACAGGAGCAGGTGCAGCAGCAGAAGTAGCAGCTTCAGGAGTACCACTTGTTGCATGTGGTGCAGCTTTAGGTGTGGAAGGCGTCTCAACTTTGGGTGATAGTAAACGACTGCTAGGCGAAACAGTTGGCGAATTGTCACGGACTGTGGGCGATGTATCCGTAACAGCTGTCTGACGTCGAAAGGCGCGAGACTGTTGTAAATCCTGTTGATGCAACTTATTAAAGAACTGTTGATTAGGTATTTGGTTCTTCGGCGTTTGCTCATTTTGTTCAATCGAAGAGGGATGCGTGCGCTTTACAGCCAGCTCCTGCATCTTAGGACAGTGGCTGAAATGTCTGTAAAAATACATCAATAAAATTAAACAAGTGTTCTACAATGAACCAATCTGTGACTTACTGTGCTAATTCCTTATGATAGTGTCGTATGTGTATTTGCAGAATGTGCTCCTTGCGGCATGTTTTACCGCATCCTTCGCTTGGGCACACAAACAAATTATCTGTGATCTGTACCTTTAATCCGCCAATAAATACTGAAATATTCAAAAGCTTAGTTAGCCTGAATACGGTTTGCTGTGCTTAGATAACGTACCGAAACCATCTTCCAGTACGGTGCCTTCATCCAAAGCTAACACAGAGGAGGCATCGGCTGATTCGGCTGTATGAGGCATTGCCTCRTTGTCTGGGRCACGTGGTGAGGGAGACATTAACTCCGCAGGTGGCATCAGTGAGGCCACCGGTGTTTCCATATACTGGCTGTCCTCCCCTGCTCCACGGCGTGTGGCCATCGGTGACATGGGCTTTGATGTGGGCGTGGCTGACAACAGCTTGGTGGTACTCAGATCCTGTGACTCTGTTGCTGTTGTGTCTAGGGACATGTCCATAGGCTTGGGTTTTACTGGTTGCTGTGGACTGTAGTCATGTGTGTAGACGTATGCATTGATGTCTTTGGCACGACGGCGATGAATGCTAAAGTCGTACACATCCGGATTATAAACCAAACCCTGCGACTCCAAGAACACCTTTAGATCGGACTTGGAGCGAAAACGTTTTCCACTGGGCGATACCAATATGACATCCCACTTGCCTAGCACATTTGAGCGCTGATACATGTGCTTGATCCAGCCAGGCGGCAATCGCCAGTCGTGAACAATCACCGTCGGCTTCTGGTGCTCCCCGACAATTAGATAGCCTTCTGTGCCGATCGGCTGATCGTTCACCCAATGGCATGTCCACTCCCCATCATGTGGGATTTCTGGCAATCCCAAAGCAGCTGAAAAGTTTAATAGAGACATATAAGTTATTAAAATCACGGATATTTTTTGCTGCAATTACAAGAGAGGGAATTTTCCATTGTGCTCCTTTTGTGACTTATCGGAATATCAAAATTCAGTGCCCACTGTCAACACAAATGCAAACTCACAAACGCAACGAACTTTACATATACATATTTCAAACATGACCACTCAGTCAAATATATAAACTATTTTTATACCCTGACCCTGAACCCATTTTTAATGGGAAAACGGGGTATAATGGTTTTGTTAAATGTAACAGGCAGATGGAGCTGTGGCACACCCCACAAAGTATATATATTTATTATCAGGGTGACGAGCTGAATCGATTTAGCCCTGTCCGTCTGTCTGACCGTCCCTATGTAAGAACGCGTCGATCTCAGAAGATACAAAACCTAGAGACTTGATATTTACGCGCATATCAAGTTTTCCTAAAAAAATAGATAACTACTCCCGATATTTTGTTATCGATTAAGCCCTTATCGAAATCTAGTTTTTTAATTATATTCCCT